GGACTCAATGAACCTTCATACCAAATTTGGTGAAGATCCATCTATAGATGACGAAGTAACGGTAAAAAACGCAAAATGCTAATTGTTTGAAGTTAATCACAAAGCTACACAAAGGGCTAACTGTGCTCTGCCCACCACGGGTATCGAAACCCGATTTATAGCGTTGTAAGTCCGTGGACATACCGCTGTGCCACTGGGGGTCAAATGCAAAACTGAGAATTTGTATGTATCTTCCCATGGACGCAATGAACCTCCATACCAAATTCGGTGAAGATCCGTTTACAGAAGGCGAAGTAGTGGTAAAAAACGCAAAATGTAAAACTGAAAGTTTTTATGTACCCCGTATGGACCTAATGAACCTCTATATCAATTTTGGTGAAGATCCATCAACACCCTGCGAAGTAATTACGTGGACATATAACAGACAGTACTATTATACTTATATAGATATATATTTAACGTTCGTCAGTAATTACTTTCTAGATACTTAAAAATGACTGAAGTGATTAATAGTTATAAGAATATCTAAGGTGATCGCACTGTCGTGTTAATAACTAGAAGCCTTCCGGTGGCTCAGGGATAAGTCTGGGGGCTTAAAACGCTAAGAAATCGAGTTTCGATACCCGCGATTGGCAAAGCAAAGATAGTCCATTGTGTAGCTTTGTGCTTAACATTAAACAAACAATATCAAGAAATTTAAGTTTTCAATTCATTAAAATGTGATGTAACTTTACGGAACGTTACAATAAGAAACAATGGTCTTTAAGCTCAAAATAAGTACAAGTCGCCTACACGGTGTGGAATAATAATACTAGATTTTATTTTACCGTAGGGGTCGCTAAAGACATACAGAAATTTCTACTGGTCAAATAGATTTACCCCTCCAAATTCAAAGTTTTTAGCAGGGGATTGTTATTATATGAAGTTCTTTGGTTTATTTGTAAAAGTTAACAGTCAAATATGGAAACAGTTTCTGTAAGTTTCAATAGATTAACACATTATTGATTATTCAACTTTACACACTTGCTTTTCAAACAGGTTTTATCGTTACCCTTGTCCTCGGTCGAAACAATGTCAAGTACTAATACTAATACTTTAATTATAAATAGTAATATTAGTGGTACCAATACAAATAAAATATTTATATAGTTCGTTACTTTGAAAGTTAGGCTAGCTTACATTTTACAGTTTTGTTACTGTTACCGTGATTTTCAAATTGTGTATTTCGAATTGTTTCATACAGTTTGTATTTAACTTTTAACTTTATTTAGGTTTAAATAACTTAAGTTAACAAGTGACCCTAGTAGTAGGCTGAACCATTGAACTTTGGCTAGTACAAATAATATTAGTAATATTATAAAGTGAATTATTGCAATGTTGTAACTTGTATTATTATTATTAAATAATTAAGGCCTAACTCTGGTCCAAATAAATGAAATTATTAAAATCAGATCCAGATATTTAATTTTTAGCTAGCAATGCTACATATTAAAATTAGTATGCATCAAAGATAAAAATAATACATGAATCGAAATATTTACTACAAAGGCAAAAACAAATTGATAAAGCTGTATGAAAAAATATAATACACCAATTATAGCAGACTGGAGATGAACATGGCTCAATTAGAAGTAAGTGAATATTGTAGGTTATCTCAATACATATCTGTAATTCAAATTATTTGTACCTTATTGTTGTTTAATGTTCTCTAAAGTCTTGTGGAATCATATTTCAATGTTACACACCCTACACTTAAAGCTAAAGCCTGGATAGTCAGTTTTTGCTATTATTTTCAATCCTTAGTTCTTCCAGGTAATGTAAAAAGTGGTGGTTTTAGGATAGCTGTCTAGGTTCATTAACATCCTTTTGATATCCTATCAATACATATTTATAAATTCAACTTTTTGCTAGGTAGATCATATTTGACAATTTTTTGCAAACTAATGAAAATCTAATTATTATGTTAGCTCTTAAATGATAGTTTATTATTATTTTGCTGATACAAACTGCAAATTCCCGATTGAATCATAAGAACACTTAGGTCAAAGACATCTGGTATGGCCAGGTGGTTAGGGTGCTCGACTCACTGTCTGAGGGTCACAGGTACAAATCCATGTCCCATCAAACATGTTTGCCCTTTCAGCCTTGGGGCATTATAATGTGATGGTCAATCCCACTGTTCATTAGTAAAATAGTAGCCCAAGAGTTGGCAGTGGGTGATGATGACTAGTTGCCTTTCCTCTAGTCTTTCGCTGCTAAATTAGGAATGGCTATCACATATAGCACTTATGTAGCTTTGCACAAAATTCAAAACAAACAAATATATAGTACTCAAGATCATAGAGTTATATACATGTGTGTTTGTTCATTTACATAATTGAAAAGAATTTAAGTCTTTGTAAAGTTTTATTTAGATATAGGATTCGTGTTTCTTTTCAACTTGCATTTTTTAGATTACAATGAAATTTCATATGTTGAATTTTACAAAACCTTATGATAAATGTAATTAATTTCCAAGTTTATAGTATTTTCAGATAAAACAACAAAAGATATTGGGGTAGAAGGTCTTTAGCCCATTGAAGTCACTTATTGTTAAAAAGATAATAAAAAAAGTCTGCTATTTTTAAAATTAATTCACCTTAAATATAGCCATTAACATTCCTATTTTTAAAAATTCAAACTAACAGCACAAACCATTTCATCGGGCAAATCATTTCCTAAGTTTATAACTAACCAAAAACTTTATCCATGAGAAAGTCTGCATTTATACTTGAAATTTATATATCTTACCCTCTAATACTCAGTTAGTACTTGTATCATTTTCTTTCCATCACTCAAAAACAGACAATTCATAGGATGATTATTTAAACCCTAAACAACTGTGAACACCTGAATTAAATACCCCCCAAATTTTTCTGTATTTCTGAAAGAACAAGTTCAAAACTCCAAGCTTCTCATTTAAGGTATAATTCTAGTAGCTCATTTCTGCACTTTTTCTAGCTTACTGATATTCTGTAAAAAGAGAACAAAAACTATAAACAGCATTTAAAATGTGACCTCAATAATTACCTTTTAGTGGTTAAATTCAAAATTCCTATAAGTATTGCAATATTGATAATTTTGCCCCCCCCCCTCCTATTCCGATTTGTATGTTATTACTGGCTCTGTAACCAACAGTCATGGACTTGCAAACAACTTGGTATTTAAATATTTTAGAAAACTGTTTAAAAAACCAGTGTGGTCCCATCGGTAATCCTGGGGTTATATAAAAACAGTTAAATTTTGTGCTTTATCTGAATTAATATTTTTATAAAACTATGTCATTTTTTACTATTTTAGGAAGATCCAACATTAGAAAGGCATTTCAAGGGCCATAAAGATACAGTTTTAAGTGTAGACTTTAACCCCAACTTGAAACAACTTGGTAAGTTCATAATTTTTTTAAAGTTTGTTTTTGATTGTTTTATATTTGAAACTTACTCTTTTTTTGCAATTTTTATTGGTTAAACTTAAATCTTAAACATATCATTTTTGTGGAAATTTCAGTGGTTTTATTTATTGCTCAACTAAAAAAATACTGCCTAGTTATAAAAATATTACCCAGTTATGATTGGTGATGATCAGTGCAGTAGTTTCCAAGATCCGAGTTTTGGATGTAGACATCACAAGCTCCATTATAGTAAGATATAGATGTTGTTATTTTTATTCACAAAAAGATTCATCAAGTACAAAATATTTGCACAAATAAAACAAAATTGTTTAAAATCTTGGGTAAAACTTTAAAACCTTGACATTTTTGAAATAACAGCTGGTAATAAACTCATTAAATGTTTTACAACTTAATACAAGAAAGAATAAAAAGGAATATATTAAAGTTTTCACCACAACTGCAAAACTGATATTCAGTCAATTTTTAATATTCGACACTGTCAACAATCATTTAACAATTGTCCTATTTATCACCCCATTGGAATGTTAAATACTAATTTGGAAAGTCTCTAACCGATATATTTTAAATGATTATTGCAGTGTTACCATGCTAAATTAAATGCTATATTTTGTCTTCGTGCTAATGTTTCTTTTGGGGATTTATCAATTATGACTTAAACTTTTCTATCTCAAACAATTACAGTAATTTTTGGAGTTTTTTTTTCTACGTTTATAAAAATAATTCACATATCTAATAGTTAAGCACTAGGTAACAATCCCAGGGATTACATAAACAGGAGACTGATGCTACCAGTGACTTTCTTGCTGTATACTGTATAGTAATAATTTTTATTATGTGTAATAGTAAATGCATAAAATGTGCAAAGATTTTTTAAAATTAGAATGATTTTATGAGTGCATGCCCATGGTGAGCCTTGAGGCCTTAACATAATAATTTTAACTTAGACCTTAGAAAAAACATTTTTCAGATAAAACTTTACCTAAGTTTATTATATTAGTAGCTTAGTGCTATTGATAATTTGATTTTTCTCCATTCTGGTCAATAGTAGAGACTGTACACTATTTTTTTCTTTCTTAGTGGTTTAGAAGCAGAACACTAATGATTTTATAAAAGTAGGCTTTAACTCTTAATTATGAACCTTTGCAAAATCAGTTTTGCAGGATTTCTCACATACACAAAAGATGGTAAGAATGCTAATACATTTTTTTTTTTCTAGAGAGAGAGAGATCTGTAGTCCTCAGTGACTTCGTGATAAGTACTCAGGGTTAGATTACCATAGTGGACAAAGCTGTTTGAATAACTTTGCACTTAAGCAAACAAAAATAAAATTTGTAATTATTAATTCTGTGTTATAACTTGTTAAATATTTTAGTATATAAGAAAACAAAAAATTTTCCAAGTTATACAGAAGGTACTTCAGCACATTATTCTAGCTTTATATTTTGCCAAATTCACACATCTTCAAAGTTTAAGGTGTTCATGTTTAAACAGTTGATGCTTTTGCATTATGAGAAGTAGCTGTTGCTAACTTTATGCAACCAATTTTTCAATCCTTATACTTTTGTGGGTAATTTTTTTTTTTTTGTATTATAAAGCTTGAAATTATTATAAAATAACTATTGTGGCCCACCAAGGTCACCAGTTAATTTCTGGAATGGCCATTCTCAAGTAAATTTCTTATTTAAGATTTCTCAGCTAGAGAATTCCTGAATGGGCATAAAGTAAGGAAATTGTAATGCCCTTTGAAACTTAATGTAATACTGAATAAAGCAAAAACCCTGTACAAAACCTAACTAATGGGCAAAAAAAATCATACTAAACTCAAATTGATTGTTGTTGACAAGATTCCAGTTTTTAAGGTATTTTAGTAAATGAGCATTTAATCTGAATTTCCACATTCTGACAACCAAAGAAGTCAGGTTACTAAACCTGATCCTCTTTCACTCAATGACAACAATTTTTAACGTTCCTTAATCAATTACTTAATACCACACTTAAGGTTATAAAGTTTGCTCTCAAATAATCAAAGATAGAACTGTTATGATGGTAATTGATTTTTTAGTAGAATTGGTGGTGACTTATTTGATTTTTGATACACAAACATAGATGTATATATTTGTTTTCTCCTTTTAGCATCAGGAGGAGCTGACAGTTGTGTGATGATATGGCACTTCAAACAGCAAATGAGAGCTTACAGATTCATTGGTCACAAGGTGCATATGTTTTCCATAGCAATTATAGTGACTCCCAATTAATATTTAAATGTAGAATATAATCAACACATTCTGAGACTATAGGTAAGACTGTATGTACATAAATTAAGGATATGTAGATACATGTATCTTACCTTGTTTTGTTTTAGGCAATGATAAAAGCTCTTTGAATAACAGCTGGAAAGTTGATGCTTTCACTTTTAATCTGTTGTAGGGAAATTACATCAAATATACCCTTTGCACAGATGAAGAGGTACAAATGTATAAAATGACAGCAATGTAGTACAATTTTAGCTACATTAATTACATTTTTCAGTTCTAAAATGTTTTATTGATATATATTTATAATAAAAGTGATGTTTGACAAATACTTATGGCTCTTGTACTGTAAAATTGTCATTATATTCCTTCTACTCAGCATTACCCAGAGTTAAAGGTACAGCCAAGAATTTTTAGAATATTTTATATAATATTTGACCAAATGACTCAATATTCTGTCAGAATAAAAAAACTACATTTGTTTACTTAGTTTTACAGAAGTTAAGTAAATGGTTAGAGAGTTTAACTTACAGCTCATTTTTAAAACCTGCATAAATACATTGTTTTGTGCATTGAAATTTAAACAATTTCCGATCTGTATTTCTAGACCAACTGTAGATGTTTTCTTTATTTGTGGCAACACTTATTGAAAGTTTTTAATATTTTATAAGCTATTTCCAAAAATAATTTTTAAGCATACAGTACATATTTAGTAGTTTTTACATTTTCAGTTAAACCTCTTTTAAATATATTTATTTAAAAAGTAATAAAATGATATACCAATGTAGTTTCCCTCTTTAATATATATTGAAATTTCATTGTAACAGTTATTAGCAACTTTGCTAGTTGTATTTAAATATAAAACTTCATGTTGTTTAGCTTATGATATCTTGGATACCTGATTGTAGAATTTTGATAATGAACGTATTTTCTCTCCTTGTATCACTGACATAGATTAAATTGATTGAGATCTGTATAGTGTGATCAGCAACTTGTATCATGTTTGCAAATATTTCAACCATTTGTTTATGAAAGTTATAAAAATACGTTTCAATGTTTTGGAACTAAATTTATTTTTCTTGCATCATTTTATAGAAGATTTTTTCTAACTACTTTATGTCCAAAGAGAAATTACTTATAAAATCTCTGTAGCTTAATAGTGTCATATCAACACAAAAAGGACTCTAATTATAGGAGAGAAATTCTTTTTTTTTCTTTAATCTGTTGGGTGAGAAATATTTTAATTCTATGATTTTTTATTCTATGGATAGGATATAGTCACTTCTGTCAACTTTTCTCCATCTGGGCACATTGTGGCCTCTGCATCTAGAGACAGAACTGTACGACTTTGGATCCCAAATATGTGAGTCTAATAAGTTAGTCAGTGATCTAATCATTGGGTTCAGCAGGACTTGTTACAGTTTTAGGTTATGTCGTTTGAAAAAATATCTATCTTAGTAGTAATACTAAGCATTTATCATAACATTTTGGCTTTGTACAGTTTTAAGTATAATTAAAAATAGGCTAAAAAGATGCATTGAAATGAATAAGGAATAATCTAAAAGATTTTATGTAGCATAGTGCACACTGGAGTGTAAACATGTTTTATGAAGAGAAACAGCCAATACCCAGTTAAAATTATTTAATTCCTCAACATTTCACCTTACGGCTTTATCAAGAGGTAGACATTCTACAAAAATATACCTAGTTTTAACAGAAGAAAATAGTTGATGTAATTTAAAATAACCATGTATTCAACAATGAAAAGGTAACAGTAATAAATGTATTACAAAAATATAATCATTGTGAAGTAAATATTCATTTCAAACTGAAAAGAAAAGATGACTCATATGAATATTTAAGCCCAATAAATGTATACATGTAAAGAGTAAATGTAGTTAAAACCACATGTATTCATTATTACAAGAAGAATAAAGTAAAAGGTATTAAAATGTTCATATATACTTATACATAAATTCATCATTTAAAGTTGTAACCCTGTTAATTGAAGCCTTCTTAGATCTGATGAGGAGGTACTCCTTGTACTTCTTACAAAGATTACGAAGTTTTCAGTGTATCACATATAAAAGTTTTTGTTGGATTATTTGATTGAGTTCTGTCACATTTTTATTACTTACAGCATAATATGAAAGTATTGCATCTCTGAGTTTGCTTAATTTATGGTATTAGATTCACTGATTACATACAGGTAAGAGTAGCACCACAAATAACTAGAGGTTCAAATGAGAAAACACTTTCAGAATAAAAGCTGTAAACTTGACTGTGTTGTAGAACAGAAACTGAACATAGTAAAATCAATCTGTATTTACCACAACAATGTAGATAAAAATAGATAAGTGTCCCTTTAGAGATCCTCTGCAGAGATTTTGAAGAGAATGGAGATTCTCTACATTGAGAATGTGTGACATTAGATATTGTGCCACAAATGCAAAGAGTTGTTTTTATAATTCTAGCATAAAATAAAAACACTTTTATGTCATGGTGCCCACTGTCAACCAAACGGGTATAAAATTTTTTGTGTACGTAGGTGGAGTCCCAGAATTTTCCCTTCTCTTTAAGATTTGGAAGGCAAATTATGTAGTTTACCCAAAATTTCCAAGATATAAATGCTTTTAGAGAGGATGTGGACTTCCATATATAGGAAATACACCTCATGCAGTACTAACCATATTCCATATACTAGTTACACATGGTCAAAGCAAGTGACCTACTTAGGTATTTTTAGACTTTTCTCAAAGACAGTTTTGGTGGAGATATATCATTAGTTCTCTAGTAACATCTTTGTGTTAAAGCTTAGAAATGTCCCAAAATACTTGCACTTAGAGAAACCCATGACAAAAGTATCCCCTGTAGTCTGACAGAAATATGACATTATTGTTTTTGTATTGAAGCTTTATATGGAATTCCATCTAATTTGTGTGGCATATCAATAATTATGATATTTATTCTAAATGACTCCCAAACTTCTCACATGAAGACAAGATACAAAGTAAAAGTTGTTTTCTTGGTTAGGAATACAAGAGCATAAATGTTATGTTTCATGAATATAGTTTTTAGTTGCTTTTTAGGGTTAAAGGAAATTAAATTGTTAGATTTCATTTAAAGCTGATGTGCAGATGTCAAAACTGTAAAGTTTTATAGTTTCTTGTACAAAAAAATACATGAACTGTACATTAAATGAATAAAACATATCTACATCATTTTATTCAGTCAAAAAATAAAACTATTTTCTGTAGGAAAAGTGAATCAACTACATTTAGAGCTCATACAGCAACTGTAAGAAGTGTGGATTTCTCTAATGATGGTCAGTTTTTGGTAACAGCATCAGATGACAAGTCTGTGAAGGTACATGCTCACAAATGTTATTATGTGGTAAAATATATAAAATTTATACTCTGATCATTAGTTTAACACTATAGTTTAATGAAATGTAATATGTTATCATCAACTGATATTTTAAATTCCAATGATGAAACACTACATGCAAGTCAGTAATTGTCTTTATTTTTTATATTCATATTAAGTTTCTAAACTAAGTAATTTTCATTGTTAAACTTAAATCATTGTGTCAGTTGGCAGAATTATTGAAGAATATGCAAGTTAATATTGCACTTTTCTCCTTCAGGTTTGGGCAACTCATCGACAGAAGTTTTTATTTTCATTAGTACAGCATTGTAATTGGGTGAAGTCTGCTCGGTAAAAGTCTTTTTTTTTATTGTTTGTGTGTGTTTATATGCATTTATCAGTAGTTCTTTCAAATCAAGGGCATCAGACCCCCACTTTTACATATTTAACTTGTATAGAAACTGCAAATTATATTCAGAAGTTAATTTTCTAGAGGGCATGCCCCCCTCATAGATTGAGCTGCTTTTAGCAGCTCCTTAGACTTTCAATCTCTCATTGTAAAATTTGCATATCTAGGCAAGCACCCCCACTTTGCAACCCCTTCCTACACCACTGTTTCAAATTATAATTGTATCTAAAACTTTGATTAGTAAAATAATTTTTTTCCTTCTGGTATTGTTCAATACATATATAGACCTTTCTTTAAAAGTAAATGATCATTTGTATAAGCTTTGTTCACACTTAAGTTTTATGCAGTTAATTGACTACTCACCTAGATTTAATGAGCTTATGTCAAAATGTAGCTTATGTGTAAAAAATGCCTTTCCAATACAGTACTTACATTCCTCTTCCAAACTATCACTTCTTGTTTGGCAGCGTTTGGGTTCAGATGTGCTCTTTTATGTGCTTAATGCTTTGTGTTTTCCTCACGAATTGGTTATTTTTAACTTAATTTGCTTTCTTTGTTCACTAGTTCCATCCATCTTTCATGGAGGTGTACCAATGCAAGTGGAAGATATTCCACAGTTCTTTATGAATATATTTCTTCCAAGGCATCTAGTGATGGTTTGCAATAATACTAATACCTTCTATCTTTTAACTGTACTTTGATATTCTTCATTAAAAAATCCCAGATTTGATTTTATGTTCTTTCAGAGTCAAAGGTTCTTTCAATACAAAACATAAAACACATCTTTAGAAGTTATAGGTCTTGATACCTAATGATCTGAACTGTGGCATAGAAGTGATTTAAGCCAACAGTAAGATTAATTTAAAAAATTAAAAAAATCCCAGATTTGATTTTATGTTCTTTCAGAGTCAAAGGTTCTTTCATTACAAAACATAAAACACATCTTTAGAAGTTATAGGTCTTGGTACCTAATGATCTAAACTGTGGCATAGAAGTGATTTAAGCCAACAGTAAGATTAATTTACATTGTTGTTTTTATATAACACAAGGATCCTAATGAACAAGGCTAGAAAAGGACAAAGCCAACATCTATACTTGAGTTTGAGAAAACATCACCATGCCAAGTTCATTCAGCTAAACAGCTGTTATTTAAAAATTTGCTTAGTAAAAAATACAAAAAACGTTGGATGTTTTGGTTCTTACTGATCAATGTATGGTACAATGACATGTAGAGTTGTGTAGCCTCAACAGTTGTTGGAGGAATGTTCAGGGTTTGAAAGAACAAAAGAAAGGGGTTTTCTTTATTTTTACAAATATAGAAAAGAAGGAATTTATATGCATAAAATCAAAGTGGCACGGTGGTATGTCTGTGGACTTAAAACACTAGAAACTAGGTTTCAATACCCATGTTTGGCAGAGCACAGATAGCCCATTGTGTAGCTTTGTGCTTAACTTCAAACAAGCAAACAAATCCATCTTATTTGCTCCCAATACATGTATGTTGCCTTTTAGGATTTGAAGTTCTAAATCAGGCTTTGTTATGTCATATGTTTTTATGTAAAGCCTGAAGAAATACAGTTGCATCATATGTATGTAGTTAACACTAAATTCTATCATTAATATACACAATTGTTCTTTGTATGTGGCTTGTGAATGAAATTACTTTCAGAATATCATGCAAGTATGTCATAATCTCTTACTGTGGCTTAGGAATTGCACATGAATCAGTACTTTTGCCTACAACCAGGCTGCATGCTCTTTTAGTATGCTAATAGGTTGACAATTACTGCATGAATATTGGGCACATGATATAGTAGTTGTTAGACAGTGAAGGATAATTCTGTTGATTCAGTAATAATGTATTCATTAATATAAGTACAATTAAAATGTGCTGAAATAGTCTTATGTTAATTTTGCCAAATTGTATTCTATTTTATTAGTAGTGGTCACTTAATAATCAAAGTTAAACCAGACTACTTCTGATTACATTTGCTTTACTCGAACTTAATCACACAGTATCTTCTGAATATTCTTTGTCAACATTTGACAGTTTTAGCTTAATTACTAGAACCAGTTAGTCATTTATTTCAGTTTTGTGAATATTAAGCTTGTGTTTAAATGAATAAATAAAGTAATTTACATGTGAGAGAAATTAACAAATAAGTGAAATTTCTGTAGCAGCATCAGTGAACATTAGACTAAAACTAACTTATTAAATTTGAAATTCAAGTAATAAAATTTATTATTAAATGGACTGGACTTTGTATTATTCTTTTTACTGAAGCCTACTCAACAATAGAAACCATTACAAAAATGTTTATGCTCATGGCCATTTAGATCCAAATCTAGATCTATGTGTAGGTTGGGTTAGCCTAGTAAGTTCTATATTTCAACCACATGGTGTATTTATGTACGAAACCTTCCAGACAAAAAAAACAACAACAAACTAAAAACAGAAGATAATGTTCGGAATGTGTTATATATTTAGAAAGCAAAACAAAATTAACTTAGTAATAATTAGACCCTTACAATTTTTGAGGGTAAATTTTTTCACCACTAAAAAATCTCTTCTGGCACCTACAATTTTTGATTACTGTGCCTGGGTTGCACTCAAAATAAACATTTAATTTCACACCCTGCTATAAAATGAGCTTATGCCATGTATGTTAATAATCAATCCAGATTTTATGAAATTTGATATACTTATAGTGTATATATTGTACAATTTTGGCATGTACTTACACTGACAAATTGTGTTTGATCAGTACACTAAGTTGTCATTTCTGGTTAGATAAGCCATAAAAAGCTATTTTACTTTTAGGTTTTCTTGTGATGGCCGACTAATTGTGTCTGGTGGAGATGACCGAACTGTGAGAATTTGGGACACAAATAGTAAACAGTGTGTGCATACATTCCCAGAACAAGGAGGGTAAGTGAAAGCATATTTTACTTTTTAAGGAATTTAAAAGTTGGAAAAAATATTGCAGTAAGTAACTGCTTCAAAGCAATCATACTAACGAAGATTTAAGCAGTATTTCACATCTTGAATAATTGATAAATGGAAACGAGATCAAACAAGATGACTGCATTATTCTGAGCTAGTTAAGAAAAAATTGAGAAGTTTAAAAAACAATAAGGCTCCTGAGTCAGTTTTTCCCAAGGGTTTTGAAGGTTAAAAATTGGATATGTGAGACACTTATAACTATTTTTTTGTCAGTCCTTGAATAGTGAGCAGGTGCCAGAGGATTGGAAGTTACCTAATGTAACTCCTCTTTTCAAGGGAGGTGATAAAAATTGTCACAGTAATTATAGACCCATTAGTCTTACATCAGTTGTGAGAAAAGTCTTGGAAAGTCTGTTAAAAGATGCTTTGTAAAGTCATTTAACAAAGTTTAGATTTTTATTGGATAGTCAACATGATATCACCAAAAACAATAACCAAACACTAGTGATATACGAGTTTTGTTTTTGTACTTAAATATTATAGCAGATGCTATCTGAAAATTAACATCATTGCCATACTAATGTTTTTGATGTATAAAAGTTAGATTACCACATAAAATGTTTTCTTTAAATATAATTATTGTTTGTAAACTGCTTGCTTTGTGATGGCCAGTTCTAATCTAACCCTTTATAGCTCTTATTTGTTGTACAAACTACAAATTGAAATAATCAAAACTATAGACTATATAGATTTGTAGCTCTATAATGTAGAAACACGAACTTTGATTTAATATACAGTCTCTTAGATAATACTTCTCTTGCCAGTCAAAACTTTAATTCTAGTGTGGTATCCCAAATAAACAACTTAGATCAACAATGTGATTTCCATAAATTTAACTAGATAATGAAGAAGTTAAATTAAAGTAGATCATAGTCATTTAAGTTAGAATTTGTACAAGTCCCGGGCATTTGAAACTAATAGGCAAGAATATTGAATAAAAAACTTTGAAATACAGTATGTTGCAGTATTATATAATCTATCAATTCACACATTAATTACTGAGGTAGACCATGTGTATTGTGCATCACCAAAAAACAAACATTAATTCAAAAAGATTTATGAAACTGAATTTTACTGATCTGTATATATTTCAATGTTTTACCTGTTGAATCAACTATAATTAATTAGTAATTAATTGTTAATGATTTTTGTGAAGTCAATAATGTCTTCAACTTAGTTTTACTGTTAGATTTTAGAGTGGTTAAAGTTCTATTTGAACTATGCGACAAAACAAACAGATCAATGAATAAAACATTTCATAGTAATATTGTGCTACTTATGTACTTCAGTTGTCTTGGAACATATTTCAATTTTAAGATATTTCCTTGTGAGTATTTTCTCCATGATACACTGTATATTTCATTAGTATCAATATTTTTTTATATTTAATGTAGGCAGATAGACAATACAATCAGTAACATTTTTTTAACAAATCCTTGTGTTAGTAGGGTTTATGTAGAAAGTATTGTGGTCTTGAACTATACAGTTTTTGTTGTTGTTGTTTTTCAATTTGTTTATACACACAACACTTTTATAGTTTTTCATAGTGAAAGAGGTTTGAAGCCATCTAACTTTGCTTGCACTGGACAACCGATCTCATATCATGAAAGAATGCAAAGATGTATGTATAATGAGCAAAACTTATAATGACAAGTAATGCTTATATTCATAACATTTCCTAACATTGGTCTAGCTGGGCTTGTGAAAACTGATGTTACTGAAAGTAATGCTCTCTATATTTGCACAAGTAAAAATGTTTTTAGGTCCTGAGAATAAAAATGTGATGCCAAGTATTTCTGGGTGATTAACTCAATTATCTAATTTAATAGATTACCTCTGAACATTGATTAGTGTAATGAAAATAATCATCTAATTGAAATAAATGTTTTTGCTTATTCTGACCGTCCTATTAATTGAAATGTTTCCATTGTAATTGTTCACTATTTTTTATTAATTCAAGTTTGTTCATCTAAATTGATTAGTGTCAGAATTCTTAAAAATAATTAACTAATTGAAATTAATGTTTCCCATTATTCCAACTATCCAAGTAATCAAAATATTGCTATTTTAATTTCTAATTATTAGTTTAAATTACATTTTAATTTTTTATTATTCCAATTACCCAAATAATTAGAATATATATCTGCATAAACAGTCACATTGTTTGTGTTTACCTTGTTTTGGATAGATGATAGTGTAGCTTTAACTTAATAAGGGGTGTTGCAGAATAAATCACACTTTTTTTCCCCAAAGTAATGACGAACTTAGTAGGACCGCGAATATCATCACTCGTGAGAAAACGTTATTTCAACGTACTCTTGGGTGTTTGACTCTTCAAATTTCATTTTTTGCAAAAACTTTTAAATCATGGTGCTCACTAGAACTCAGGTTCGTGTCGCATATGCTGCCTTTGAGATGCTCAGAAACTAATCACAGACATGCTTCGAGAATTCAAGTCTTCCAATTGACAAATCGCAATGCCAGATTTGAAAAATTAAATTAATGCCTCAAAAGTTTCAGAATTGTTGAATTTGGAAAAGTGGTGGAATGTGGATTGGGAACTCTCCAGATTTAAATCCCACTGAAAATGCCGGAGCTTTCGTTCAACAATGCACAGAAGAAATGTTAGAAACTTTGCCTGAATGCGAGAGACACAAATGTGAAACCCTGATTCGTGTTCTCACTGATGTGCTCACAGAGACAGCCACAAAAACAGACATATTTGTTGCATTGTTGAAATCTTTTGCAAATCGATTAAACCTCATGCGTGAGAACAATGGTGGTCCAATCAAGCAATATTGATACTTGGAATTACTTTTTGATTGAATTAAAATCTTATTTTATTTTTTTATGCTCTCTGGGAAAAAAGTGTGATTTATTTTGCAACACTCCTTACATTGCTTACTTTTTCCAAGCAACAACCTCACCAGTGTTACTTTGAGCAAAATTGCTTTAATAAATATGTTATAGCAAATTAATGTTCATTATTCTTTACTCTTTCAAAAAAATTACTTGCTTAATAACCTGCTCATTTGATTGTGTTTGTCAAACATTACTAAACCATAGACTAGAAACAGTGTAACAATATGTAACCATTAAGTTTTAACCTACTCAAACAAACGTGTCTACTGTTTAATTATGACAAGTTCTAGCTAGATTGAAAGCACTGAAAAGGGAAAGCAAAAGTCTGGCTATCCTTACAAGCTACTTAAACACTGCCAAGTAAAGTAAGCTTTGAGTTGTTTGATTTATTGATTTCTCAACATGCTCATGTGTTTCTACGATGTAAAATATAAACATGTTAATAATTTTAAAGTGTTTTTTTTAAACTTCTGTTTGGTATCAACATCTCCTTGCTAAAAGCATGTGATGTATTTTTATACTTATAAGAAGCTGTTAGTTATTTTTGTTAGCTATTCATGTTGATGATGGAATCAGAAAAACTCTGAAACATTTTTAATTAAAATATTTTTTGATATTACCATGATTTTAGTTTCCATCTCATGAATAATTTTGTTCTTTACAAAGAGATTGTTTAGCCTTGTCATATAGCAAATGTTGTACTGTCTTTGTTTTTCTAGGATTGAAATGAATTTGTTTTTACTGAATTATATATTATCTATAACATTCTGTTCCAAGAATCTCTACTAGTTTTATCACATTAAATCTAAGGACAATTACTTTTAATGAAAAATTAATGTATTTAGTTTTAGTAGAGTTGTCTTGTAAAATTTTCTAAGAAGAAACCCATGGAAGAGTATTAACCATACTCTCAGCTTGTTACAGGTTTCATACTATGTTGCATATATGATACATTTTTAAGTACAACAGTTTAGGATTAAAAAGTAATTAATCCTAAATCGTTGTACCTAAAGATGTTATCATATTAAATGAAAAGTACTTTGAAGAAGTTTTTAAAAAACACCAAATTAAACTGAAAATGAGAATAATTGATTAGTTGAATGTAGTTGAGTAATCAGTTTGACAATTAATCAATGAGCAACTTTCACTGAACAAACCTGTTTTTTTTTTTGGGGGGGGGTCCTAGAGTTGTGACATTTACTGGTTTTGGTTTTATTAAAACATGCACTGTTTTGGTTAGAATGAAGTTCCCATTTTCAAAATTAGTCATATGGTAAGAAAAAAATTAACATTATCAAAAAATATTTAAGTACAAAAACAAAACTCGTACATCACTAGTGTTTGGTTATTGTTTTTGGCATTGTGAAACTTTTTATAGTTTTCAAAGATCCATATTTGATACTTAGGTAGTAATAATATATTTTGTGAAGTTTTATTGCTAGGGTTAATCAGAGTATTAAACCCATGAGTTACTTGTAATATCCTTAAACTTTATTTTTTACAGGAACATAAATTGCGTAGCGTTTCATCCAAGTGGAACTTGTGTGGCAGCAGCAGCTCAAGACAGTACTGTCAAAGTGTGGGATGTCCGTATTAAGAAACTCTTACAACATTATCAAGGTAATAGCTCTTTACTACTGACTTAAATCAGTTATTATAATACTAACAATTTTATTTTTCAGCTCATCAGGAGATTTCTTAAGTTCTCCATTGAAAAAAAGCCTGGATAATTCCATGAAATAATTGCAGCATAGATTTCTTGGTGAATAATATCTCAGTTGATTTTCTACTGAAAGAAATAAAAAATTTCATTGATTTCACACATCTTATTATTAATGGTGTGTGCAGTCTTCCATTACACAAAAAAAATAGTAGTTTTCTGGTCCTAACCAAGTGCTTGGTTAATGCTGTGATGATTAATTTATTATCACAAATAAAGCTTTACATTCTATTCAATTTGGAGGCATTTGTAGCAGCAAAAGGGGGGGGGGCAGTTTCATACCCCCCCTTGTCTTCATATACATTATCACCTGCAATTGGCTAATTAGTGAGTGTGCCAACATAGAATCAAGATCATACTATCATAATGCTGAATACCATAGTGGCAAAAGCCAGACTTATTAATAATACTCTCCCTAATTAAGATGTTCAATAATATACATCAAAATCATTAGTTAAGTAGCACTTTAATTAATAGCTACATTAAAACCAGTAATTGATTCATGAGTGATTATTGTTGGTTATGCTTAAACAATCATCATAATTTTATAATCAATTCCCAACACTAATTATTACTTAGAACTGTAATCCATATCAGTGATTTATTTATCTACACTTACATCTGCTTTAATATATAATGTATGTCCATACAATGATAAAAAAATCTAACTTATTTGTTTACATCCTGTTTTAGATTTTAAATATTAGCAGCTTTATCATCTAGTTATTTAATTCAACTGGTCTTTCAAAAGACAAAATCTATAAGATACATGTACAGAGTTCCACAATAAACTTTCTACCCAAAAGGATTGTGCTACAATACAGCAGTTTAAGTTAACTAAAAGAAATTAAACTATAAAAAAAAACCCTCAAAACTTGTGCTTTTAATTCTTGTTTTGAAGTAATATTTGAATTAAAACATGATGCCAATAAACAAGTGATTTGGTTATTTTTAATTCACGCTCATCTAACAGAATATCATATGTGAAAAGAGAAATATGGAGTAACGTCTTGATGAATATACAGAATTAGACTAATAGAGCTACTGATCAAGATCATTGAAAATCATTCAGGATATACATTGAATTATCTTGAAGAAAGTAGCATATTTTTGTCTAGATCTGTAATCCTTATGGAAAAGATGCAATAGTTTCATTATATATGTCTATTTATATTTAAAATATTTTTCATAAGCAATTTTTTTGTTCCTAAGATGCTTTCTTAATTTGTTTTAGCCCACAGTTCTGGAGTCAACAGCTTGTCTTTCCATCCATCAGGAAACTATCTTTTAACAGGTTCCAGTGACTCAACTCTAAAAGTGTTAGACTTGCTGGAAGGCCGACCCTTTTATACATTGCATGGACATCAGGTGCTGAGTGTTTTTAAATATTTGTATCAAGTGGAACATAGTTTGTGTGTCTTTTTTCGTATATACATGTGTTATTACAACACAGGTTAAGAGTGAACAAGTGTACATTTGGAGACGACAGAAATGTAGTTCATATGTATGCGACCTTAAGATATTTTTTATGTGAATTATTTTTCTGAAATTAGTAAATGTGTATTTTACCTGTTTTTCAAACATGCAATTTATAACATCAGAGATTATTGTATGAATGGCCATTATAGTATGTATGGCTCAATTCTTGAATTGCAAAAGTAAGTAAAGTACAACTATTCTCAGCTATACGTGTTGTTCTTAACAACTTCTATGTACATGTATTCTTTCCATGATACAATACTCAAATACGGAGAATGGTGTCTGAAAAACCATTGAGTTCTATGTGTATAAAGATGGACCAGGACTAGAGTACCAATTATCAATATACAACAGGTGGCCTTTCCATTCATATTTCTGTATCAGTTTCTTCACAATGGCACCTGAAGCCCCCATGAGGATCTTTTTTAGCAGTACCTGTATAAAATAATTCCTGTTTCACAATCTCAGAGAACTTGGATTTGTATTCCGAATCTAAGACACTTTGACGGTATGTATTGCTTGAATATCAATCTCTCCTTCAATAACATTAGGGATTCATCAATTACAATTTTTTTGGAATGGGCAGAAAAAAGCAGAAACCTTTTCCTTCAAAATAGTAATCACTTCCCATATCTTCAACAATCTATGACTTTCATCAAGAAGCTCATTATCAGCAAAATAAATGTACGTAAGTAGTTCAAGGAACCTGTCTCTGGTCATGTATTTTCCAAAAAAATCTGTAGCAATCATGGCATCTTTTGATCAGTACTCTTTTATTGTTCTTTTTTTTCACATGAGGCATTAGTAAAATAATTGCCAAAAAAAAAAGAGTACATTTCATCAATTGTTGTCACACTCCAATGCTGGCTTTTTTTGCCTTTTGATGTACATCATAATTTTGTACACAAAATTCACGATACATATTAGTATTGTCTACAATCTTTTTCATAAGTTCACTATCGAAATAGGCTAGAAAATATTCAATAACGGGTGCATTCTCTTGAACAGGAAATGAATCGCAAATTCCTGAATTATCGTTAGAGAATGAATAGTCACAAAGCACATAATCATCCCCATTCTTCCATGTAATATTACCAGTATCATTATTATCTGAACATGCCTCAGGCTCACTTTCATCACTTGAAATATTATTGCTATCTAAAGGAATGTCACTCAAGTCAGACAATTCTTCTTCATCACTCCATTCATCTATAATTTTACGCATTAATTGAGGGCTAAAAAGGCATATTTTGGTATGTGTGAATGAGAATGACAGAGACAGCTCATCCATGATGAACAAATAACTGAAAAAAATTTATCTAATTCAAATACAACTAATTGTTTTACAATAAATACAGCCTTCTATAAATAGATATTTCATTTGCTAGCATGTGATGATGTAGAGGTAGCTAGATGGTTCATTGGATGGTATCTAATATCGTAAAGGTGCTTATCCAATCAAATTATGGCTTTAAAATGCATTAACCAATGAAAGCAAGCCAAAGAAAGAGAGTGGAGCCATAGTGGTTTTAAAGCTGCACCTGTTTTTAATAAATAGGAATATGCATTTATATGCCTCACCCGTCTCTCAAGCAAGATACATAGTGTGTTTATTTACCACACCTGAACTTAAAGGGTTAATGTATTAACTTAAACCTTTTCTGCCTGTCATTAGAAATTATAAATATAAATATTAAGACTTCAATTTTGAATTTGTCACGTTTTTCATCCAATGAAGTAGTTTTCTTGCAGTATTAATCCTGATGTAGAGCATAATGTTTACCTTATGTTAATATAAAACTGAAAGAAATACAGGAAATATTTGATAATGTTTTTTATTGAGTTATATACACTTATACACAAACATTATGTTCTTATACTATCCTGCTCTTATGGATGAGTGCTTTGTTAGACTTAAATATTAAAAAAAAATTATAAGTAACAAAAGAAACTCTGACAAGTTTTCAAAAAACCTTAGATAGTGACTCAGGGGTAAGTATTATTTCAAAAAATTATAACTCCTAATGACTCAGTGATAAGTCTGTCGGTTTATAATGGTAAAAATCATTTTTTGATAATCATGGTGGGCAGAGCACAGGTAGTCCTTTGTGTAGCTTTGTGCTTAACAACAACCAAAAATCACAATTTTTTTCTGTACTCTCAGTTGAGGCTTCTAAAATTCTTCCTTAATTTTTCATCATGTCTAACAGTGCAATAGAAGTGTGGCTTCAGCAACAAGACCTAATGGTCAACATAAAGTTTTAACACTGTTTTTCTGACATTGACCCACAAATCTTCCCAAATGTGGTTTAATTTCATGTTTTTTATAATGGTTGCCTGTAATGTGATTTACAGATGATGTTTTTTTTACTCTCTTTTCTTACTTGGGTCTGAAAAAATAATTTGTTAATTGTTATTTCACTGTATATTGGTCAATTTGTATTTTTAAATGTTAAGTTACAATTGTCTGTTTTGTTTTTCCCTGAATTGATGATTTTTGCTTGAACAATTGATATTATATGTTATGTCTAAAGATGACCTGTGTAGTACTGCTTAGTGATATTAGTAGTACATTGTATTAGAGGTGACTTGTAAGCTAAACTTTTGACATCTTACTGCTGCTAATGTTATCTACAAATGGCCTGTATATTTTTTCAATCAGGGTTCTGTATGTGGAGTTGCCTTTTCAAGAAATGGAGATTACTTTGCTTCTTGTGGAGCAGATGAGCAGGTAAATGGGACACAGACCATTGATTCAATTTTTCTCTATTGTGTATTTGTATATATATATATAGATAGATAGATACTTGTTTATCACCTCAGATCTAACTATCTAGAACATTAAGAGGACTACATTTTGTAAAGAATCATAAGTTCCAATAACATAAATGTTTTAATAATTTTATACATTATATTGATGAAAGTTTTTGTATCATAGAAGATCCAAAGTTAGTTTTTCATTGTTATTGCATGTATTTCTTGTATTATTTGTTTTCAGATTGGTGCATTTAGTTAACATTGAATGTTTTAGTAATTAGCATTAAGATGTTTTCTTAAAAAATACTTCCAAAAATATTTTAAGACTAGTAAAGTCAATTTTTTACTAATTTACCTATTTTTTAATTTTACTTGCAGTTAGTTTTCCCACACTTATTTCTGAAGTTGACTTCAGAAAGAATGCATTATTAGAAGTTTGAAATTTCTATTGGAAAATAATGTCAAAATGCAATTTTATATATATATATATATAATGTTAAATACTGATTATGCACTTATGTTTTACCTGAATTTGACTGGAAAGATATAAACCCATAAGATATACACGGAAAACTTTTGACTTTAATGGGTTGCTCTTGCCTGTTTCTAGAGTGAGATGATGTTTTGGCTATTCGCAGTAAAGTCAAAATATTTGCGTTTGCAATATAACCAAATCCTTAGAGTGAGAGAAAACAGAAATGAGTTCATTGTAAGTAACATTTAGTGTAGATGAATAAACAGAACAGAATGCGCATTAAAGTTTGGCACAAGAATCCTCAACTTCATTTGTCAATACAATCCAGTGCATCTGATCTTCAAGCTACGGTATGTTTTTTAAAACATCTCCCATCCGACATAAAGAAATTGAAAATTAACCCAGTAATTACTATAGCTAATTTAACAAACTCACTGTTCCCATGCATCCTGAAAAACGTGAAAAATTTCAAAGTTAATTTCCAGGCCTGGAAAAGTCATGGAAAACTGTTACCATGAAATGTGTTATCTGATTTAATAACTGTTAATCATATCATTGAACAACTGACTTAATTAAAATGTGATTTATTAGATAAAAATAAAAAACAAACTGCAAAGGCATGAGGATGGAGTAAATATGATGTGTGGTACAAATCTATAAAATGTCATAAATCATGACTGAATATCCTGGAAAAGAATTTTTAACCAAGGGTGGGAACTCTGATACCACTCTAACTAGGTGTATGCAAAGTCATAAAACAAAAACCTTAAATTATTAGTATGCATTGATTCATCATCTGAGTACTTTCATTGTTAGTGGTATTTTTGGCCATAATCTTAGTAATATCGGACCACGTATAGCTTTTCGGTTAGCATGTTGGCCTGTGAATCTTAGAGTCCATGGTTCACATCTCATTATCACAAAAATCACACTCCTTGCACTATCTTTGTGTAGCTTTGTACGAATAACTAAAACAAACCAATAACTATCTTACTATGTTCACAGCTTTGGAGATTTAAATTAGCTACCAATCTTTATGCTAAAGTAATGCAAAATTAGCATAAAGATAAATTATATAATAAAATTATAAATATTAAACATTTTATCAATACTATTAATGAAACTAATATTAAAAAAGAATATAACTTACAAAAACTAGTTTTATTGTTACATGTAACACTAAAATTTAACTTCAACTATATCTCAATTCATTTATTACAATAAAGTAGACTATGCATTGTCATTAAACTATGGACAATTCTTTGTATTTTGAAGAAAATAAAGTCTCTTTCACTTTAAAATTACATGCCCAAATCCTTCTTTGCCTCAATCAAACCAAAAAGAAGGTAGGAATAAACAGTGCAGAAACACTAGAAGAATATGAAGTATGTAAACTGATAAGGTCCATAAGGAAGATGCATGCACATTGATTAAATGTTTCTATTCATCAGAATAACAGCTGTTTATACTCAGAATATGGCTTGACCATGTTTTGTTGTAAAAATTGAGTTGATATTTTAACTTCATTCCAACTTTAAACAAATATATAAATGCATTCCTAGCCTCATTCCATAAACTGTTTGCAGCCCAAATTCAAGCAGATAAATGAAATTTTTGACCATTGTTTGTAGTCTCAGGATTTCTGATTGGTTTCCAATGCATGTTACCACTTCCTAATCTGTACAACAAGATAATTATTTGAACAAGTCTTTCCAACATTGTCCCACATTGGGTAAGTGGTAAGTTAAAGAACTGATAATGCTAAAATTGGGGGTTCAATTCCCTGCAGCGTACAGAGTGCAGGTACCCCATTGTGTAACTTAGAGTAAAACGATAACATTCTTACATCATGTCTGTGAGCTACTCATGTGAAAGTTGTGCAAAATTTAAAATAAAAAAGCTGTTTAAATACAATCATTTTGGACATTAGCAAATTGAACTGTCAAAATTAGTTGATCTATGCTCTGAGGAATACTTGTGTACCCAAACTGATTCTATCATTAATCAATTAGCTATTGATATTTCATTAATAAATAATTTATTAATGAATAAATGCATGTATTTACTACATCTTCCTTAAATTGCATATTACCTTATCATGAATAAACAGTGCTTTGTTTTCAGTTATTTCTCTATGAAAAATTACCTGGTTTCTCTTTCCATAGGGCCAATTAATAACATGGAAATTTCATTCACTTTTCATTACAAATTATTGTTGATTTAGAATCCTTTTCAAATCCTCAGCACTGACTCTAAAGAAAAATTGGTTCTTTGCTTCCCAAAGCAGAACTATACACCATGTTGTTAAATTAGCTGACTCAAAAGGATTTCTCTACTTGCTGCCTTCTTTTTTAAATGTAGATATACATAATGTAAACAATTTAAAACTATTTAAAGATCATTAAAGTAATTTGTTTAATTGGATCACACTATTTTAGGGCATAGAATCATAGTATCCCAATTACCAATTGATTTATTTTTAAGTCAAGCTTATTTGTATTTAATATTAAAAGTGCTTTTACTGTAATGTAAATTTTGAAAGAAACTTTGTGTAATATTGTTAATTGTATCCAGTTAACAATATCCAAGTAGATTTGTCATTAATTGTTAATAATATTTCTTGACATGATCCACCCTTCACAGACTTCTTGTTTGCTGTTCTATCTCTTTGAACTTACTCATTCTTTAGTTTCTCATTACATTTTAACATTTGATATGATGGTAGTGTGAAATATAATTCACATAACATTTTATACTTCCTCATGTGAAGTGTTTTATTTGTAATAATTATCTGTGCTTTTCAAGAATATAATTTCAAGAAAAGAGAATTAACATTTTTGGTTTTCAAAATAGCATCTTTTCCATCAATCCACTTGTAGGTCATGGTATGGAAAACTAACTTCCACCACATATATTCAAATTCTGTAGCAAAATCTCAGCAGCAAACTAATTTAGTATCAGAACCTCCACCACATATCCAAGACATATCTCCAAGAATTCCAAAAAAACTAGGAAGGCCAACTGAGGTCAGTTGATGTAGTTTGTGATTATTGAAATGTCGGTTCTTAACATTAAAATTATCATACCAGAATATTAAATACCAAGAAAAAAATTATAAAAGTTATTATATGTAGTTCAAACTTTAATAATTCTCTCATTTGTGATAATGAGCTTTTGGTTACATTAAATATTTTCACTACTATCTCCATTTGTTGTTAGCTTTGAAGTTATACATAATATATAATTCTTTATGTTAAAATAATGAATATTACTATTTTTTATGAAAAAAATATCATTTTTCTTAAGATATTTCTATTTTGGCAAATTCTGCTTTCTATTTTTTTTTTTCTTAACTTGACTTTAAGTAGTTTTTTTTTGTTGTTGTTTTTTCCCTCAAATAATTTTGATAACTACAAAATATTGATAAAACGAAAAGAATTTCACAGTCAGCCAAAGTGGCTTGTTTTACCTTCTCTATGTACATACTTTGGTTTATACTAGAAGCTTTTAGTAATTTTTTTGTGGGCATTTAATGAAAATATGAAGATTATTCTACCTGTTTCACGAATATTTTTCATATAAATTGACTAAGAGAAGGATCTTTTCTAAGAACTATTTCAAACTATCTAGTGATGTAACCTTCAAAATATTGAGTGTGATAATTTTTTTTATCCAGGAAATGGGTGAACAACTATGTATAGGTAAAAGGATAAGTAGACATTGATTTTTAATATTTTTGAGGAACCTGTATTTTTTCATTCTAAAAAAAGAGCTGTGTTTTGTATACAAAAGTATATTTAATGCCTATAACTGAAAGTAAATTTGTTTTTTTGTTTTTTAAGCAACCACCCCAAAATAAAAGATGTATTTAAATTTCTTTTGTTATTTTTACAATATTAAGGTCGATGCCAGGATCAAACTGAAAGATATGGCTGTGTCAGACCCTGAGATTACAGATATAGGACCTGCTATATTCACTGTGAGTTCTAAATTTAGAAATGATTCCTCTTCTATTCACAGTATTAAACTTTAGTATTATAAAAAGTGGCCAGTAACATTGCTCTGTGACTGAGATGAAAGCTGTATTTTTAAAACATCTTGGTAATAAATCTGCTTATTTCCAATTGTATTGATCACATTTTAGAACTTGGTACTTAGTAAAATGCTAATATGTAACATTAAAGTCCAGAATTTGTACCTTGTTGTCCCCTGGTGGATTAGTGGTAAGTCTGAGAACTTGTAACACTAAGAAATCAGGTTTTGATACCCTTGGTCAGCAGAGCACAAATAGCCCACTGTGAAGCTTTGTGCTTAACAACAAACAAACAAAAAACTTTGGTAACAGAAACTTGAAGATCTTTAGTAACTTCATTACAGAAGTGGTTTCTTTTTCACAAATTGTAGACATTATACACTTTACTGCTGTACATTCATCAATTCATCACTGTCTCAATATGAATAAGAATCAAGACAGTAAAGTTTTTTAACTATATTATCTGCCTGTATTGAAAAAGTACATGTGGATGAAGATAATTTTCATTGATTCACAAGTTGAATTTACTTACTATCTGTGTGGCTTCCCTTGACATTTCCTTTTTGTTATTCCCAACTACATTTCCTTATTATTACTCTTGTACAAGAGGAACAGTAATACTTAAAGCCATGAATCTCATATTCATGCCAGGCTTCTCTTATTTCCGAAGGAAGCACAACAGGAAAAAATATGCAGCTGCATCAGTAGTCAGAGTTACGTTAGAATCTTTCAGTCACACATCAAAAGAACTTATCACTGACATGATATGGGAAAGAACATACAAATAAGATATACAAAGATATATACTTAACTATATTTAACAGTGCACTAGATCCTTAAATGGTCAGTCATATAAACATAATTTCAAGAGTTATATGAAAAGTTTGTTTAGTTGAGTAGACATAAGAAAAATCTGAAATAGATTATTAGAAGACTTCTAGATGCATGAAGTAGAGGGCCATAAACAAAGATGCTGAATAAATTAAATTACAGGATTGCTTCATATTTTAAAATGAAAATAAGACAGCCTTACACAAAATTAAGAGTGCATTTAATTGCTCATCAGTCTACAAATTTAACCCAAGCATATTAAATTGCTAATGGTCTAATTATAATTCATATAAATTGATAAATCACATTTTAAGGCATTTTTATAGGTTGGGGGGATCAAACGTTTTCATTTACATCAAGGTAGCCTCAGACTAAAGGAGCTTGGGAACCACTGAACTAGAAAACTTACGTCAAATTCATCAAATTAAACAGATGGATTTTATGAATTTATTTGTCTGAACTTTCACTGTTTATGCTTTTGAGTATGATAACAGTATGATTTAATGTATTACTTCAAATCAAATTTCTGGAAACTCTTGGTAGCTTTATATGTTTTGGTGGCCCCCTCTGGGGGGCGTGGCTCCCACTTTGGGAAATACTGCTCTAGTTCACTATTTAGAGATGAATAAAAATCATTCAGCTCATTATTTCTACCTTTAGCAGACAGAGAACCTCACTTTTGATCTAAAGATCAAGCTTAGCTTTACAGTAGTAGAGGGGGGAACACGTTGGCCACAAAAATTATAACATTCAATACATCTCTCTCTTCTTTTTCCTTAAGTATGTTGAAAGCTCCAGAAAATTCAGATGAGTGCCAATTTTCATCTTATCATTCTATTCTTTGAGAATAGGTTGTTGTGGTCACCAAATACCTTTAATTGGAGAAATTATTTGAAGAATATTTTTTATGTGATGTGAAAATGAGGTATTTTTCATTGAACTTCTTTCTAATTTTTAAAATAATATATATGAGGGGATTTTCAGTACTCTGCATATTAAAACAACATGAATCAGAAGAAATAAAAAGTTGTTTATTGAAAATGAAACACTTTTATTAAACAGTGTTAGCTGTTTTCATATAATTCAAACATTCCTCTGAAATATAGCAAAAGTACTTTTCTATAAAACTTACCGCAAATGTTTTACAAAGGTTTATCTTTCCTCAGAATGATAGTGGAACAGGCACAGTAAGGGTGAACCCAGAGGATGAAGATCCTGTTACAACACAATTAGAAGAAAAAACTTCCATTCCTCCTCAGCTTAACCAAACACTTCAGCATATTGTATCACAGTTGGACCTCCTGACACAGGTAAGTGTAAATGCGTTACATTGTTAGGTAAAGCAGTTATCTTCTCTATATTAATATATTCCCTTCTTATGTTAGTGTGGTTTTCCAAAGTAGGAATGGACCAAACACAGTTACCTGGTCTTTGCAACAATGAGAGGTTTGCAAGTCTAGTATTTAGGACAAGAATAGTGGTTTATTGAAAGTAACATGAAACAGGCAAGACATGATGTGAAGCTGAATACAAACACTATGTTAAAGAAGCAAGGAAAAAAAAAACTGGAAGAATGGCTGAATGGTCTAGTGGAAAGAAATATAGCATAGAGGAAAAACTGAAAAAGTTGAAAGAAAAACCTAAATTGTAATCTAGAAAATCAGAATGAAACTAACTATCATTATATGTATAAAACTATTTGACAAAACTAGAGGATTGTTGTGGAGCTTACAATGTAAATTGAAAACAAGCACGTTCAACGGATATCACAAGACACGGAAACAAAGAGGCTCTTACAATATCTCTCGAATGACTCTTTATAATAGATTACTTTCATAGTCTACATTCTCTCTGTAGCTACCCAACCTCAAATTAGTTCAAAAATAGGCATGGGTATCTTTGTTCCATGTAAACATGAAGGCAGTTCCCACATACAGAAAGTGATTGATATAAGATACAGTTCAGTCATGATAGAGTAGATAACCTCTTTGACCAAATCCTGTTACAGAAAGTAACACCTAGGATTGAATTTGCTTACAACCTTGACCAAATTTTCCACACTAAAAATAAGAACTCTAGTAAAAAATTAATTTTGTAACATGAATACACGCTGTAGGAGAGTGAGATATGTGTTATCTGCATATCACATATTTTGACATTTTGCATTTTTAAAATTTTAAAACATTCTGTGAGTGCTGGTATCAATAAATATTTTGTAAATGGAATTATTTCAGATGTTTACCTATCTATAATTTCATTTATTTGAGAAAAATATAATTTGTGGATGGGTGTAAGTTATTATTATCTTTGAGGTGACTAATATAGTTTTCTTGCTCTCAAAACACATTAAATATATTCGTTTTTCATCAATAAATATTTCTTCTGACATGTTATGCCAATTCTTTCTGAATCTGTTTTAGACAATGTCAATTCTTGAGCAACGTCTTACATCTGCTGAAGACAGACTTCAAGAACTAGGTAGACAATTCTTAGCAATGTCTTGTGATGTGGCTACTAGTAATGGAAAGGGTATTGAAGGTTTAGCAAGTGGAAAAGATGGTTAACCATCCAGGAATACATCAGAATAGTGGTTGGTGTTAAGGAACTGTTACATGTTTGCCTATATAGTTATTTTTAGTGACTGTATCTTTGGTTTGTAAATTGATTTGCAATTTTATTCATTAAAAGGTGGAAAAATATCAGAAAACCTTATTGAATAAGTGTGATATTTTTTATAATGAATTTGAAGCTGCAGGAAAAGAAACTGTGCACGAAGGTACTAAAATTATGCCAAATATTGGTTAAAACTGTACTGCAATTTATTTTATCAGTGTTTAGCCCTAGAATACAGTAATATTTTATAGTTAATTAGAATTTCTTTGAAATTTTAAAATGTTTCAAACATTTCACAATTTTTTAAAGATTGTAAATTTTAATCTAGTCTAAAGAATAATAAATATAATAGTTAAAATTACTTTGTTGTAATTTTTCTTCACTTGTCTTTGAGCTCAAATTGTGAAAAAACAGTTTGGATCTGTATAATTCCTGCTGATCAGATCTATTGATAGAACTGTAATGAATTGTCCATCCATAATGTAATTAATTTTATAAAAAAATATGTTTTGATTTTTCAACCATGCAACAGCATAACATCATTTATAAAAACGTTTAGTTAAATATTTTGAGATTAAATAGTGGCTCTTAATTATTTGTAATGTTATTCATGCATTATGATTTCTTAATACTTGCCTTAATACTGGAAAGACTGATATCAGAGACTATCATACATGGACATAATGTTTGTTTCTTATTTTATTAGATGATATCAAGAGACTGGAATAAATGAGCTAGAACATTAATTTCTACTGTATTTCTAAAGAACATTGACATTACTACACAAATTATTACTTTCACTGTAATATTATGTCGTCCAAAGTATTTACTGTAACACTGAAAGATCTGACAATTTTAATTATTCTCTGTTCTATCACATTTTTATATCTTCTGAGCTATCCATGACTATTTTTACTAAATTCTATGTAACCAGTCAACACATCTAACTCATGCTAATGAAAATTATTCTTTCTTTGTATTATAATATAATTAAGTTTGGAGATGAATAAAATTTACTGTTAAAGAAGAATATGAAGAAAAATGAAATTAAAATTGGCTGGCTACGAGCAAGAGATTTTTTCCTATTTCAGTACTTCACAAAATTAGAAAACATTGCCTGAGGTGTAATTTATAGAAATTAGCTACGAAAATTGTTGTTATGACAAACAAAAATGATTTTAATTGATTTTAAGAGCTACTGCTGTAGTAAAATTATATATATTCAAATTTTTCGTTTTATACTTTGTCCAAAATTTAAGTTAAAACTAGCATGAAGCTATTGAGTGTTGTATTAAATGTTTTCATGTGCTAACATTTCAAGTTTTTATAAAGTGAATGTTGACTTTTTTTTTATTAATTGTCATAAAAAGTTTTATGTGCCACCTGTAAGGTAATAACCAACTTCTTCAGTTTACTTGGAATACTAAGTGCTTTTATTCATTGCCTTGCAAGTGTGTTATTGGTATAAGGCAATAAACTGGATTAGTTGGAACTATATACAGGGCCAGATGTATGAGTGTTGAGAGTATTTTGTCATGTTTATAGTAACTTCAGAAAATGAACAGTTCAGAATGGTGTTATAATAAAGCTAAAAAAAGAACTGAACTGAACAACGTTCTATAATATTAGTTAATACTGATTAATTTATTTTATCAGTACTTGTGTAAAGTGTTCAACAAAAGTAAGGAAATAATTCAATAGTGGAAGAAATTACCCTTCTATATATAAAACACAGTTTTTAATATGGGTTCAAATTTCTAATGATTTAAATGAGTTAATCACACTTTTTTTCAAGCATTTAAACATGCCTCTGACTTGATTTAAAAATAAAATTGTACTTTAAAAAATATTGCACATAACACTAAGAGCTCTATTTTCTTTTTAAGTGAAGCACAACTTGTATCAATATGTTTTTTAAGACTGTAAATGTAGATATAGAATATTCTGTATTTTAGTAACTAATAAACCTGGTTATAAACAGTATCAAAGTACATCTGTAGTTAAATCACTTAATGTGGCTTGAATGTTGTTACTGTATATGTATTGTTCGATGTGTAATATAATTGAATCCTGAATCTATATAAGTAAAACACTTGTATTTGTCTGTCCAGAACTTTGAGTAAATTTCTTAATCAAATGCTACAAATTTCATATCATTAGAAAGACCTAGAAAGAAACTAGTAGTTTACATATGCAGGTTTTTTGTCATATCATTGAGTAGGCTAAATATCTGAAGTCTATATAGAAACACTTGCTCAATAGTATGAAACGTAAGTTGCACTATGATCACTATGTAACCTTTACTTAAAAGAAAGGATTACCACAATAATATTTACAATATTGCAATATCTAATCAATATGAATGTAATTAACTATTTATAGAAAATGCAATGAAGGTTTTAAATATTATCAGAATATGTGTTATTACTAGTTCAGAGGCATAATGACAAAACTCCACTATATTAACAAGAAATTCAAAGACTTGGCTGGATGGGATGTCAATGATTTGGCTCATAATCAGAGATGGACTGCCTTTCTCAAAAGGAATATCTTCTTATAATACCAATATTGCATCTCCAATACACATACATTATAGCTGATCAATCAGAAAAAGAGGCAACAAAATATCTGTACTCCCTGTGACAGATGAAAGATATCTCTCAAACACATATAAAGATTATAGAAGGGTGAAATTAGTAGTTATTTCAACTACAACGCTTATAGTCAATTGTCATGTTAAAATACAAACATCTAATTAAACTTATAGCAGGTACAGTGGGCAATATACCACGTGTTTATTAAATTATTTATACGTCTGATTTCTTGAGACAATTTGCCAGAGAACCAAGAAGTTTCACTAGATTTTTATTCATTTATTGCCAAACATTTAAATATGATTTTGAACAAGCAGACCCAAAAGATAATAAACCTAGCTACTGCAGGTTTGATTGTCTGACAATGCAAGTTATTTCAGGTTGGTGTCTCGGGCCTCCCATGCATTTTCAGGGAATTTGTACTATGGTTTATTCGAGTAAAACTGATTATTCCTCAGGAAATTGGAATAGGCTTGCTGAATAACAAGAGATCTGACAAGATATTTATTATAGAGTAGAACTGAATTTTTCTTAATACTCAAGTTCACAAGAAAGAAGTAAAGAGACTGGACACAATACTTATTATAGTTGAATACACAAACACAGTGTATGTACTTGCTTAGATGATGGACTGTTATTGCTGTTAGTTCGGTTCTCTGTCTAGAAATGACTAACTTGAACTCATCTACCAAACTGTTTAAATTCAACATTCCTTACTTCAGAGGTAATATCAGATTTATCCAGAGTGACTAGCACTATCCACATGACAATTATTTTCAATTAAACATAGGGGAGGCTGTAACCTCATGATACCATCTGACCTAACACTGAAGAACACTGCTGTGTACATTTTTCACAACATGCAGCATTATGGCAATTTCCTCCCATGGACAGAATGGGCGTGACCTCAATAGAATGACAAAGGAACAAAGTCAACTGGAGTAAAATTTACTTCATGATTTTCTTGACTAAATGTTATGTGAAAATTGCACATACTTGGAATAACTGATAAATTTAGAATAATACTAAATTAATATAAGAAGGAATAAAATCCATAGTATGTTCATATATTACACTACACATTTATTTACATATAAGAATTCTTATAATTTAGTGCTATGGAAGACACGGATCTTGGGGGTTTTGTTAATCAATTTCTTAAGCCATTCAAACATTGTGCTGTTGTGGTATATTATGGCAAAATTAACTTAATCTTAGAACAATGGGATAGATTGGCTTCATATTTCTTATAAAGTAATCCTGAGTTCTCTTACTTTGAATGAGTTTAAGATAGAAAAGAGATTTGACAAAAATGTACAAAAACAATGGAACAATCTTTATTTAAACTCAAAATAATGTGCATATAAGACGAAGAAGAGATTTGACAAAAAACACAATAGAATAGTCTTTTATTCAAATTCAAAATAATGTGCATGTAAGACGAAGAACAGTGCCCTCACTTTATTATTTCTCCTTCCTCTCTTAAGAACTTATTAAGACGTTTAATAAGAATTACTTGGCATTACAAGTTAAACTTTAGGAGGGTATTAGTATTTACAAAGAAAAGACTTAAACTTCACTTACCAAACTGAGGACTTGAGTTTGAGGAAGGTTAACTAAGAGATAAAAGTATTATATACCAAATTATATAACACTATATTCTCAGGACACATACTCTACCTATGTGACTTTTGGTAAATTCCCTTCAAGCAGTAAATTTGAAACTCGATAAATACTTATATGACAAGAGTTGGATTAGATTTTATTTCAAACAGGCCTCTTGTTGTCCTTTTAATATTATGTTATGGTGTGATAACTTTACATAATTTTGATTAACAATCAAAGAGAAATTAGAAATCTCTTGGACATTGTACCTCATTCATAAATTTGTTTGTTTTGAAATTCGCGCAAAGTTACACGAGATGCAGATATATTGAAAGGTTCCTGAAAAACGAGTAGTAAAATAATTAATATATCACTTCAAACAAATAAAACCGAAGTACGTCTTAATGTAACCATCTCAAGTACGTGTGAATATAGTTTAAGAAATGGGTTTAATTGTATTAATAATTTACTAATTTCAGGTTACTTTCAAGAAACACATGGAACACATTCAGTTTGTGTAAGAAGAAAAATCATTACCGTGCAATGTCATTGTTAAAATATCTAACTATACGTAATCTTAACATGAAGCACTTCATATTCCATTTCTAATTATTCTTAGAGTCTACGTTTGGAATTTCCGAAGAGGCTCACCCGTATAATACTGTGTTAAACTGTTTTAACAGCTTTGTTTAACTAAAGGCGTAGGGACCTATTTTCTATGTATATACTGTTTATGGCTTGTTTGTTTTGAATTTGGCACAAAGCTACACGAGGGCTATATCTGCGCTAACTGTCCCTAATTTAGCAGTGAAAGACTAGAGGGAAGGCAGCTAGTCATCACCACCCACCGCCAACTCTTGGGCTACTCTTTTATCGCCAAATAGTGGGATTGACTGTAACATTATAATGCCCCTACGGCTGAAAGGGCGAGCATGTTTGGTGGGACAGGGAGTCGAACCCTCAGATAATGAGTCAAGTGCCCTAACCACCTGGCCATGCCATTCATAAATATATACGAACACCATGAAGCTTCAAACAACTATTTCT